TGATCAAAATATATGACACGTTTTTAGTAGCCTCAAAGGCTGAAGACTACCATAGAGATCCCCAAAACATCATACAAAGCCAAGGCCTTGGTGCATAGCTTGCTGTACACATTTACGAAAGACTGTTCTAAAATATTTGAAGGAGATGGCTGGAAAGGAAAGTGATCTTTTCCCTGGTTAAGATGGAACCAAAACTGATAACTAGGAGTAATTTTTACTTCCTGCCATCACTGCCCTTGGAAATCATGGGAAGTTCAAACTGAAGACATTTTATAGAAGATAACTGAGCCATCAACTCACAGGAAGCAGCAATGTATGAAGAGATCCCAGGAGACGATTATACAGAGGTCCCTCTTGGGTCACAAGGTCAACTTTACCATTAGAGTCAAATGCTTTCATTTCAGGATGGCTTGAAGGCAGTATGTATTTAAGAGTCATCTAAACTTTAAGAACACTTTATGGTTTTCATTGCCTACAGTCGAAGGACATGGCAGCAGATTGAGCCCAGGAGAAATTCTACCGCAACTGTTGATTTAGAACCCATTAGGTTCTTTAAACCCTCACCCGCGTCCTGTGACCTCATCAAAGAACTTCAAGAACTTCAGCTGGAGGTTCCGGTTCTCCACTAGCTAGGTATCGTCCTTGATCAAGCATCTGGTTTCTCTTGACTCAGGTTTCTCACCCCTAAAATGATGGTATGAACGGGATGGCCAACCTTCTGGTCCCTCTCGCTTCTAATTCGTAATGCACTTAGGATTTTCCTCTTTTAACGAAGTGTGTTTCTATAGCATCGTTTCATCACGACCTCCTTTGGTGGATTTCTCTAGAAATAGGTTGTCGTGTGTACCACAGAGTAAAACTCTATCCAGAGTCACGTTCTCCCAAGGAAGACAGACATACTGTTTGTGTAATTGAGAAAATGTGTCTCTTTCACTCCTCTTCACACTGCTAAAGAAAAGCAGCTTGTTTATTATGACTGATACTTTGTATCCTGATGACTTCCTTTGACTTGTGGACCCTTTGGTACAAATGGGAAGACTCTGTGCATGTAAAATCATGTGTGCCTTCTCCATACTGGTCTCCATTGTGCTCATGCCCTGGCCCAAGGCAAAGGGACCTTCTGCCTGTGATGTTTCCCAGACACCTGTTGATCTTGCATGACTATTCTAAAATTGGAAACAATTTACCCCTCTTCCTCACTAAAAGTATAAATATTCACTATTTTATGTGTATGTGGGAAATTTGCACAATGCACACATACACACACACACACACACACACACACACACACACACACACACACACGTGTGTATGGGTGAGTAGTAGGGAGATGGCCCAGCAAGGAAAGCACTTGCCTCGTGTTTTAGCTAGGGTTTCTATTTCTGTGAAGAGACATCATGACCACGGCAACTCCTACAAAGGAAAACATTTCATTGGGACTGGCTTACAGTTGCAGAGGTTTAGTCTATTATCATGGCAGGTCATGGCAGCATGCAGGCAGACATGGTGCTGGAGAAGGAGCTGAGAGTTCTACATCTTGACTCACAGGCAACAGGAAGTGAACTGTCTCACTGGGTGTGGCTTGAGCATATATGAGACCTCAATGCCCATTTGCATAATGTCACACTTCCTCCAACAAGGCCACAATTCCTGATAGTGCCACTCCCTTATGGGAGCCATTTTCCTTCAAACCATCACACCTCACGAGCATGCTTTGGCTCCTTAGTTCACCTTTATTTCCCATAGTAAAGCGTGATGCTTGGAGACACCTCAGCCAAGGGCTCAGGGAGGCTCACCTGCTGTGAGCTCCAGACCCTTGCTTTTTCAAGGAAAGCCATCAATAAGGACCAGTAAGCCTCTGCCTTGGTAGCCCATGGAACCCCACTAGCCCAGACCTGTAAGGAACCCCACAAGGTCAACATTTTGTAATGCTAACATGTCTTTTGCCTTTGTCGCTGATGGTGCAAAAGCAGTGGTGTGTAGGTACTTTTCAGAAATTGAGATCAAGGCCCCGGGCTGGAGAGGGAGGAGCGTAGTCTTCCTGAAGGCACACTGACAAATTTGTTTTTGTTTTTCTCGGTTTCATATACTGTCTCTTTGACTTGGTAGAAGTTATTGTTTTAGTTACTGCCCATCTTTTAACTAGATATTGTTGCATATGGTGGCATAGGAAGGGCTCAGAACACTCCAGGGTACAGAGGGGTCTCAAGGAAAAGCCCCATAAGTTGTTTGAGGTGGGACTTAGTGACCCTAATTTCACAGTTTTCCACCTCACTTCTCCGCAGTAGTTCTTGAACCTTGGAGGGGGTGACACAGATGTCCAGCTATTCTCTGACTCCAGTGGGGTACCCAGCCCTCCTGCCCAGTGCCTCCCATTCGAGTGTGGCTCAAAGAAAGTCTTTCTATTACAAAATACAAACAAGGGGGAAGATGAGAAATGGAAAGACACTTTACTAGAAGCTGACACTGGAAATAACCCATGAGCATAAACACAAATGTTTGCAAAACACTTTAGGCAGTACATCATATTCTTAGAACAAATAGCTGAGGACTATGATTCCTCAGCCACAGTGTTTTGTCAAAGCTCACAGTACCAGATGTGAACTGTCCCTCTGTAGAATGGGGGTTAAATCCAAAGTTGATGTACCCTAACACTTGAAAGCACTATTGCACTATCTGGCTCATCTTGCCTGGCACTTCTGTAGCTCTTGGCACTTGCATCCTTTGACTGACTGAGGTGACTTCCCAGCATTGCTCATTTGGGCACATTCACGTGTCTCTCAGACAGCTTTCCATACCTGTAAACACCCAGCTGATTAGGGCTTTGGGCCATTGTTTCCCAGACACCTCAAAAACACATTTGGCACTACAAAAGCTAATCTCAAGGGAGAACTCAGTCCCAGCTTGATTTCTCCAAGTCTTACAACCAAAGCAAGCAATGTCTTCAGAAATAAGGTCTGGTATAAGCAGTGGTCTATCTTTTATCATTTGGAAGTCTCTTGGGCTTTGTTGGCCAACAACTCGTAGGAAAATTACTGCCAGCACTAGGACCCTCAGTCAACAACCTTATCCCTTCTGGGAGAATCCTTTTCCATACAGAATACATTGGTTCACTCTGTAATAATGACAGCCTGTGGCTGTCACTGAGTTCTGTCAGTCACCTTAGTGTCATCTATGCCCACCCAACCATAAAGTTCCCAAGAACTTCACAGTTGCATCTAGCCCTTGTTCTCTTTGTGAGCTGACTTCTCAAACTTTCTCCTGTGTGTACACACATCTGTCCCTCAAGGAATTTTCTAGACCTTTAAAACACTCAGAAGTTAGCATTGTGCCCTCTGTATAATAAAAGTTTGTTTATTGTGTGGTATGGGTCTTTGCCTGCAAGTATGTGTATGCACCACGTGTGTTCAGTGCCCTTGGAGGCAGAAGAGGGCATCAGATCCCTTAGAGCCATAGTTACAGAGAGTTGAGAGCTACCGTGTGGGTGCCAGAAACCTGTGTCCTCTGGAAGAGCAGCCATGTTCTTAACTGACAAGCCTCTCTCTCCAGCTCCATATTGAAACCACTTACGTAAGATTGGCAGAACAGCAAAGAAGGCCCTGGGCCACCATCCGTAAAAGATAGTGTGGTTGTAAAGATAACCTTAATGAAATACTCAGCGTCCATTGCCATTCGTGCCCGTCAACCGTCAGCCAGTCTCAGAAGTCTGTAACTAAGGAGATACTACAGTAAAACATTAGCTAGGTTTAATACGGCATGAAAACACCCCCTATGTTCCTATCCGTATCTGGCTTCCTCATGCTGGGCACCCACAGGGCCTCTGCATTTCTCCAGCATTGATGAACTCTGCGCAGCTGACTCTAGCTCATTAGTTTGGCCTAAAGCAAAGGAAGAAATCTGCTTGCCTCCTTGGCTACCCCAGCCTGCAGGCAGGACTGCTGCCTGCCAGGTCATTATGCCTGGGGATCTGGGCAGCTGCCTGCCTGCAGGCGGGTCTCTGTACCCTTTAGTGGCTTTGTACTGCGACTGTAGCCAGGTGATGCCTCCACTTTGGCCGCAAAAGGCCTGCAGCTGGATGCACACACTAATCCAGGAGAGAAAGATGCAAAGTAGACTCCATAGAGAGAGCAGCCCACCCCAGTCAAGTTTTAACCTTTCTACCTGCTTGGTTCCAGCCCCATATGCATCAGCTGACGCCCATTACCTTGGATACTCCTGGGGCCCGACAGAAGCTCTCAGAGTGAGGCTCATTGCTACCTCCCTCCCTCCCTAGTATCCATGTTGTAACTAGTCAAGGTCTCAAAAAGTAAATATCCACAATTACATGAAAGCCTGTTCACATAGGCCTTGCATTTCTGAACTCATATTTTTGTGAGGCTGTGTTCAGTCTCATGCATTTTAACCCAAACAGCATGTCACAACACATGGACTTCAGAACTAGACCTGAGAATCTAACTGTCACCTCTATTTAGATATTGGAGAGATTTGCAAAGGTGTGAAATAATTTCATCTTTTTGTGTTTTGGAAGATTTGACTTTTCATAACATCTGTTAACATGTAATGAGGTGTTTTGTTTTTTCTGTTTCTGAGTTCTTAGTCTTTCATGAGAAACATTTGTTAATGTGCAACCAACACTTTTTATATCGTACGTTTACTCCTTTTCATAAATGAATGGATGTTTTACAAAATTCTTGTTTTTCATTTCTAACGTTCCATATTCAAGAGCATAGCAAACACTTGGAGATTTTCACTACATTTTGAGCATGAAGGGGAGAGCAAGGTTGAAAGCCTTGCCCCGCTATGGTGGTCTCCTCCCTGAAATTGTCTACCGCCTAAGTGAATGAGCCCAGTTCTTTCAAAGGTTAAAGGAACTTGTGAAAGACACAACAACCAAACCCACGAAAGAACCAGTGGGCTACAACAGTTACCACTGTCACCAAGCTGTCAGCGCCGCCCCAGGCAAATGAGCCTCTGAATCCGTTCCTTTATTTCTCCAACAGTGGCTCAGAGCTTCTTGGTTTCCAGGAATGATGGTTGGCGATGTGAATGCCACACAAGATAAACCACCTCTGGAGCAGAACTTGGAAATCCAACTGATGTAGAGCCCGTCTGTGGCTGTGTCAAAACAAGGACCTCAACACCTTGAGGGCGGTGAGACTGTTGTGATTGGTGCGAGCTAGCCCTGCGCTCTACAACGGACTAAAATGATTGGGTGCGTCTGAGTGCTTTTCCTGGAACGTGTTTTAAGGACACTGCTGTTTAGTGCTTGTCAACTTTATTCCAGGTCATCGAAGAAGAGAGGACATCATTTGAGGAACTGCCTCCATCAGCTTGCCCCAAGGGCAGGTTGGGGGAGCATTTTCTTGATTAATGATTAATGGGGGGGCAACCAACTAGGGTTGGTGTCTCCCTTAGGTTGGTGGTCCTGGGTTGTACAAAGAAGCAAGCTGAGCAAGCCATGGAGAGCAAGCCTGTAAGTAGGGTTCATCCAAGAGCTCTACTTCAGTTCTTGCCCCCATGTGCCTGCCCTGCTTGAGTTTCTGCCTTGACTTTTCTTCAGAGATGGGCTGTGATCAGGGCATGTGAGCCAAATAAACCTTTTCCTCCCCCATGTTGCCTTTGGTCACAGCAGCGGAAGGCACATGCGGGGCGTAGTAGGCTCAGTTCTCAAGAAGCTGGTGGTAGCTGGTGGGCTTAGTGTGGAATTGTGTTCCAGGAAGATGGAAAAACCACATCAATGCTGCTCAGATGTCAAGGAGACAGGCTGTAAGAGCTAAGGGCTGAAATTCTCGACATTATTAAAGAATAAACACAAAAGAGGAAAGCCCAAATTATTGTTTAAGAAACAGTTGTAGCTGAGTGTGGTAGTGTACACACCTTTAGTCCCAGCACTTGGGAGGCAGATGCAGGTGGATCTCTGTGAGTTTGAGGCCAGTCTAGTCTATGTAGTGAGTTCCAGGACAGCCAGGGCTATGTAGAGAGACCCTGTCTCAAAACAAAACTAAACTAAACTAAGACTAAATAAAGAGTTGTAAAGCAGCAAGATAGAATGAACATTATGATAACTTTCAGAGCTATGGCCACCAACACACTCACAGGAGCCCTGGGTCACAGGAAAGATTGTGAGAATGGGCATGTGAGAGAACAGACTCAGGGCGTGCGCCTGTTTCCTTTGCCAGAGTCTCAGGTGTACCCTGTGCATTCAGCTGCTGTCGTTTACATAGCTGTAGCTTTTGAAATATTTGGGGGAAGGGATGGAGAGTTGGCTCAGCACTTACGAGCGAGCGCGCTTGCTGTTCTTAGAGGACCTGGTTTCCTCCTCCAGCAACCACTCCCACTATAGCTCCCCAGGCAGTCATGGACCTCAAAGTCCCGCCCCAGTTCACAGTGGAATGTGGTAGGGCCCAGTCTCATTTAGATCAAGTGCAGGTATCCACAGTGGATATGTGTTCATGGATCAAGAAAACAGCACTTCTCCCCATCTTCTTCCCGCCTCCTCTTCCTTAGTTTCCTGGGTTTTGGGAGGGGCATTAATGTCCCATTTAATGCTGAGCATTTAGCAGTCATTTTTATAAAGACACTATTTTTATGTTCATTTTGTAGTACTGTAAGAAATGCCTGGGATAAATCAACTTTACAAGATGAAAGGTTTCTTTTGGCTCATGCTCTTAAACACTTTAGCCATCATCTGTTTGCCTATGACTCTTGGTTGGGTCTTTGGCATGGAATTACATCTAGGCAAGGCCTACTGGTCATGTGACGGCTGGAAAGCTGAGAGAGAAGCAAGCACTCGGGGTCCCTTCAAGGGACACTCACAGTGACCTAATTTCCTTCTACTGGGCCTGATCTTTTAAAGGTCCTCCTCCTCCCAGAAGGAGTACCACAGGCTGGTGGCCATTCCTGTATTAACACTGGCCCTCTAGGGAACACTTATCCAAAATGTGGCAAGTTTCCAGGGCAAACTGATTTCTCAGAACAGAAAATCAGGATATGTTTGAGACTCACAGTGAAATATGACATGTAAGAAACAGAAAGGAATGGAAGCAAGAGCATTTTGACAAAAAATGAGGAGAAAATGACACACCCCCAGTCTACTAAAGGACAGTGGCCGCGTAGCCATGGTTTTCCTTCTCTGTAGAGTAAGCAAAGTGACCATGAGTAGGTCCCAGGAAAGGAGTGACAGAGGGGTACAGAGATGACGTGGACACCACAGCATAACCTCAGGCAAGGAATAGCAAAGACATGTCAGAGCATGAACCCCATCTCTATGGCATCTTCATGCTCTACTTGAGGGAAGTGGGGGTCCAGGGAATAGCTGGGTATGTCTGAATCCGAGGAGCGCAGAGGGAGCTTGGTTACCAGACTAACTCAGCTGTGTGTGGCTCTCTTCAGTTTTCCGTTGGCGGTCCATCACCAGCTCAGGAACACTGTGGGTCCCTTTGACTACAGAACATTCTGCTCCTGCGGTTCACAAAACCATTTCAGATGTTGCTAAAAAAAAAAAAAGAAAAGAAAAGAAAAAAGAAAAGAAAGAAAAATGTCCTATGTGATATCCAAAGAAAAGTTAACTAACCAGAATTCGCCTTTTTCCCAGAAGCATGATTCCAGTGACCGAGTTTCGGCAGTTCTCCGAGCAGCAGCCTGCCTTCCGGGTGCTGAAGCCATGGTGGGATGTGTTCACAGATTACCTCTCGGTGGCCATGCTGATGATCGGAGTGTTTGGATGTACATTACAGGTAAGGCCCGACCCTCGGAGGACGGAAAGCCAAATGGTGGGCTGAAGAGCTGGCTCTTCTGGGCTGGGAACGCAGCTTGCTAGTGGGAGATGCTTCGAATACATGAGGCCCTGGGTTCAGTCCCCAGCACTGAACAGGGCAGAAAGAGAGAAGAAAGGGGGTGGGGAGAGAGAGGAGCGAGCTGGCTGCATGGGGGTGGGAGTCACAGGTAACCATTAGGCAGTCCTCTCTATCTATATCTGGCATTGGTCATCATGGCAGGGAGCCTGAAAACTCATTTGCTAAACATTCCTGATAAGCAGGTGCTGTGCTTAGAAGAATGCAAAGAAGCCACTTGCTCAAGTGACATTTGATGTCATTAACCTGCAAAGGGCTCCTCATCTTTCTGTGCCTTCACACTGACATCTTCACAATGCCACTTCCATTGTCAAATACAGCCTTTTGCTTTTCTTTGCCTCTTCTGCCTGAGCCTGAGTGTTTCTGGGAGCATTAATATCTTCAGGAGAGACCAAGATGTACTCGGGGTCTAGTTCTGAGTTAAAAGGTTACTCAGTCACAATGACTCTGTATGGAAGCTGTGTGTCCATACATCTTCACACCTGTTGCTGCACCAGGCACCACACTCGCAGGACCTAGATACTGTACGCAGTCGTTCCTTTCTGAGGGGACCTAAGCTGACGGGCAAGCAGAAGAGACTGTTAGCGATGCCGGCTCCACAGGAGGGAAGGAACCCAGCCGAGAAATGAGGAAAAAGTTATAGTTGCATTAAAAATTGGAGAATGAACTGGCTTAGCTAGAGAGCGGGAGTTGGTGGGGGGATGGAGGGGGATGGAGGGGGAGCTGGAGGGGGAGCTGGAGGGGTGGGGAGACGGTGCCAGGAGAGGAGAAGCAGCTAAAGAAAGAAAACAGCAGTGGTGGGAGGCTCTCGGGACGGCTGCAGATTGGGTGTCCTTAGGATGACCTCAGTTGGTGCCTGGGAGTGGAACCATTCAAGGAGAAGATGGGGAGGGGAGAGATGTGAGGAACAGCACTGAGGAGTCCTTGGAGGAGAGATGGGGAGCTGTGAGGCCGGGTGGAGAACTGGGGAGTCCTGTGGTCAGTCCTGTGGGTAACAGCAGCAGGCAGCTCCCAACCAACTCACTGACTAAGGAGAGAAAAGTAACATCTGGACCCTTAGACATCTTAGTTCAGTGGTTGGATAAGTGGATGGAAGTTGGAGGCTGTGGGTGGGTGGGTCCTTCAGGAAGAAGGCCTGGAAGAAGTAGGAAGAAAGAAAAATCTCCAGAAACAAATACAGTGTAGATATAAAGGCCTTTTAAAGATGGTATTGTTCATCATTAAAGTGTGTCCTAAAGGTGCCTGTGTGCTGGACATCCTTCTGGACACGTCACTTCTGTGGTAACTCATTCCTTCCTTGTGTCAACTCTAAGATAGGAGCTGTCCCTACCCTAAGTACACAGAGGTTAAGGAAAAACTGCCCTGTGGCAGCAGAGCCCTTCTTTAAACCCAAGCGATTTGGATCTAGAGTCCTTGTTCCGAGTCCCTAATACCGAGTTCACTGTGTTTTATTTGAGCAATAAAAACATTTTGCTAGCTAGCCCGCTGGTGAAGACTCGTAATCCTGGCACTTGGAAATTGGAACCAGGAGGAGTAGAATCAAGGTTATCCTCAACGTAATGAGTTCCAGGCTAGCCTGAGCTACGTGAAACTGTGTCACAAAACAAAACAAAACACACTTCCCTTCTTCCCCCCCCCAACTCAGAAAAGAATACCAAGGAGAAACTTAAGTCTAAAACAGAGGGAAAACACAAAGTTATTCATAAACAAGATAACTGTGGAAGAATACACTACCATGTGCTGGGCTCTGCTCTACTAAGAATTGCCAGTAAAAGGAGGAAAAATAAAAGATGAAAAAAAATCCTCTGGCTGGCGAGGTGGCCCAGCAGATAAAGGCACTTGCTACCAAGCCTGAGCAGCAGAGCTGGGCGCTAAGAACCCGCATGGTCGAAGAAGAGTACCAACTTCAGGAAGCTGTCCTCTTCCTACAGCACGTGCGAGAGCCCACACACTGAATAAATAAAACAATCAGAGCCTACCTCAGCCTGAGGGAAAGGAAGGAAGAAAACAAGCAAAATCAGCGGGTAAATTATAAACAGTGAGGCGAGAGATACGTGCAAGACCTCCCGCGGGTTCTGAAAGGACTCTACCCAACCCGATGTCTTTCTGCTTGTCCTCCTATTACATGGCTCCGCGCAACCTCAGCAAATCGTTTGTATTCTTCCCTGTTTAACTGAGACTTCGCTTGCAGCTGCCAATTTGTCCCAGTCGCCTCTCCTGGTGCTCAAAGGCCACGTTGAAAACACAGGTTACAGGAATGCACGTGCTGAGATGCCCCCACAGTCACCCTGAAAACCAAGACAATTACTAAGTGACTAATATTGCACTACTCAGCATAAAGTGCCATTTAAAGAGCATGAATCACTTATTTCTAGAAATTTCCATTTAATATTTTAGGACCACAATTGACAGTGAGTAACCAAAACCGCAGAACTGCACTTTATGGATAAAGGGAATTGTTAGGAAAATTAGAATGCAAGAAGGGCAACAGACAACTGAGGCCCTCGGATGGGAGGAGGACCCGAGGGGAAGTCGGGAAGTGTGGCTTTTGGCCAAGGAGTTGAAGATGGGCAGGAACAGGTCACGCAGTTGGAAGGAGCACTCGAGGCTAAAAGCTAGAACAAGGGTATAGAGACAGGCCCTGCTAGACCCTTCACTTCCTCAAGTTTAACTCTTTCACTTCCTTATCCTTCTCTTCCCCTGGAGACCTGATACAGATAAAGTTTTAGCTCTGTTACTAGGCAGCATTGCTTATGATATAAATGACCACTGATTGATCAGCTTGTCTAAGCTGAAAGAGCAATAAATGCCTGATGGGGAGCCATATTGTTGGACTTCTGTGCTTTGGGGGAACATTTGTGTAAGCAGAGGTGTAGACTGCTCTGCCGTATAAGCCTGACGAGAAGGAGAGGGGAAGCGCTCAGAACGCAGTGTGGACCACTCCACTGGCAACTGCGTAGATGCCCTGTCAGGGGCGAAGCTGTGCGTGCAAGCTGTCGCTCCAGTCCTGTCTAAGTGATTCCAGTACCATGCGAGGCTTACATATTATATAGTCTGGAGAGGAGGTGAACCTGGGAAGCCCCTGATAGTGGCCCCAGCAGGCAAGGGTTTCCTTGGCGTATACTGGAAAAGCTGCCACCCGAAAGGCAGAGCAGGCAGGTCCTGTAGAGCTTGGTCAATTCTGGAAGGTGACTGCTCAAATGAGACAGGACCCCCTTGGACCGTTCTGAGCAGAGGGTTTTCATGAGGTGGCATTATTTGTCAACTGTCTGTCTGTCTATCCATCTATCATCTGTCTCTATCAATTGATCAATCAATCTATCTACCTATTATTTATTTATTTATTTGGTTCTTTTGAAACAGGGTCTCACTATGTAGCCCTGGCTGTCTTGGAACTCACTCTGCAGACCAGGTTGGCCTTGAACTCATAGAGATCTGCCTGCCTATGCCTAACAAGTGCTAGGATTAAAGGTGTGCACCATCATCGCCGGGCGGTGGTGGCGCACGCCTTTAATCCCAGCACTCGGGAGGCAGAGCCAGGCGGATCTCTGTGAGTTCAAGGCCAGCCTGAGCTACACAGTGAGTTCCAGGAAAGGCGCAAAGCTACACAGAGAAACCCTGTCTCGAAAAACCAAAAAAAAAAAAAAAAAAAAAAAGGTGTGCACCATCATGCCTGGCATGAGGTAGTATTTTAACAAGACCACTCCAGCTGTGGAAAATCAGTGTAGGCCAAGGCAAGGGGGCATGCTTATAATCTCAGCACCCAAGAGGCAGAAGGATCACTAGCCCAAGGCCAAGAAGCAAGTTCCGGACCAGCCGGAGCCACGGTGAGAGTGCCTCATAAGCCCAAGCCCTGGAGGTGCAGCTTGTGCATGTCTAGGTATAACCCCCAGGAGACAGTGAGCAAGACCGGGGCACTTCGCTTGGAAACTAGAGGGAACGTACAGTACAGGTGCAAAGGAGGGGACACGTATCGCTTGATTACTTGGAAGGCCAGTACAGTGATCCTGATATTAATCTAGTGCCTCAGACCAGGCTGGAAACAGTAGCTCTGGATGTATTGAGGGAGCCTACCAACAGTTTCTGGATGACTGAATGTTAAATGTGAGAGAAAAAACAATGGAGATGTCTCTAAGGTTTTTAGACCTGAGCAACTAGGAAGGCTTGTTTTTGAGCATGTTACATTGAAGATATGTGTTAACCCCCCAGGCCGTGGTAGTGAGTGCTTAGGTGGGTACATAAAGGGTAGCCATGGACTGATGGAGGCGGATGCAGAGACCCACAGCTGAACAACATTAGGCAGAGATCAAGAATCCTGCAGAGGAGGAGGAAAAAGGAGTGTAGGAGCCAGAGGGGTCAAGGACACCACAGGAAGGCTCACACAATCAACTAACCTGGCCTCGTACAGGCTCACAGAGACTGAGCCAACAACCAGGAAGCCTGCATGGGACTGATCTAGGCACTCTGCATATATGTTACAGTTGTGTAGCTTGGTCCTCTTGTGGGACTCCTAACAATAAGAACATGGGCTGTCTCTGACTCTTTTATTGGCTTTTGGGACCCTACTTCTCATACTGGACCTTGTCCAGCCTTAATATATGGAGAGGTGCTTAGTCTTACTGCAACTTGATATGCCATGTTTTGTTGATACTCATAGGAGACCTGTCCTTTCCTGGATGAAGACAGAAAAGGAGGAGATTGACGGTGGGGGGGAAATGTGAGAGAGGGACTGAGAGGGGGGATTGGGGGGGGCTGCAGCTGGGATGTAAAATAAATAGATGAATATATATATATATCTCCAAAAAGGGGGGGCATTAGCAATGAACACTCACCTCCAAGAGTGAGGACAGGATGGGTCTGGGTAGAAGGGTCCCTCTTGACTG